CAAGGTTGGCCTGGAGATAGACCCCTTGGCCTTTCTGTTCATTCTAAATCTTGAAGGCAGGACTTCGGGGACAAAGGCCTATGCCAACTGAGATGGAAGGTCTCTATAGAAAGTCTGTATCCTGCCTGCTGATATGCAGTCCTTAAAGAGCCTGCAAGCCATTTAAAACTAATTTTCTTACATCATTAGGGTTAGGGATGTTTACATCTTCCTTAAGATCTGTGTGATAAGGGGTCTATGCTGTGAGAAGTTTGGCTTCAGGTAATTCCACGACAACAGGAATATTATACCACTGTGTACTTTCTGTAAGTTTTATATTCATTTATTAGATAACTATTCTATGTGCAGACTTGTACAAATATTTTAATTGGATGTTTCATGATCAGACAATGTTCTGCTTTGGTGTTATTTTCTTTCTGCTGCAGGGTATCTCTCTTCCATCCTGACACAACACCCCAGCCTTCACTCTCCTGTTCCCTGGGGCCTCTCATCCAACCCTTTCTCTCTTCTCTCGCTTTGCATTGATCTCTTTCTCTGTGCCTTTTTTTTTTTTATCATTTTGTTCTATTAACATCTTTTTTCCTTTTCTTTTTCTTTCTTTACCTCCTGGCTTCCATCATAAAGCTTAGAGTGCGTCCTGATAGCTAAAAGCCCATTTCATATTGTCTAGCCCAAGTGATAGTCTTACCTGAATTGTTGCTTTACAATAATCTTTAACATCACATGCAAACACAGCACACTGTTATTACAGACTGTACTTGAAAATCATAAGGCTACTTTGTGTCAGAGGAAACAACAACTACAAAGAACAGAAATTTATTCTGGAAGGGTAAAAATAAGACAAAAGCTAAAAAGAAGACAAAGCCTTTCTCAAATTAGAATGGGGGGAAAGAGAGCTTTGTAAGCTTCATGTAGCATTGCAATGCAAAGAATCACTTTCTAACATGATCTCTGGCAGGCAAACAGGAAGTTACCTGGGCCTGGCAGTGGTGGGGCACGCCTTTAATTCCAGCACTCAGGAGGCAGAGACAAGCAGATCTCTCTGAATTTGAGGACAGCCTGGTGTACAAAGTGAGTTCCAGGGAAAATTTATACAAAGGCATCTCCTGCAGTCAGGAATACACAATTCAGTTTTTATCATAATTCAAAAGGAATAAAAATAATTTTAACTTAATTTTTTAATTCTTAGTACTACTAACACTAGTTATTTATGAACTATTTGTGCCAGGGTTGTGCTATTATATGCATAATAATGTGTATTATTTTCAGCCAACCCACTGACATTCACCATGCCTTAGATCTCCTCAGTGTCTCAAAGGAGAGTTTCTGGGCTTTAAGACTAATATCAGGGAAAGATGCAGGCCCAGTAACCTGGGGAAGTTTTGGTGCCATAGGAATTGCAGAAGACTCTAACTGAGATTCAGTCGCCAAGGGACTTTGAGTTGCCAAGTTGCTCTCTGTGAAAATTTCAGTATTTTGGGCTGAAATATAGTTTTCTATATCTGAAAAAGAAAGAAATGTTGGCAGAGAAAAAACATCTGATCTCTTCTTAGTGTGTCCCTCAACAGTCTTTATGCCCTAGTTTCCATATGATAGTTTCCATAGGTTAGAGACGCAGAATTGAATCAGCTGTGGAAAGTGGGGACCAAAATGTCCTTAGTGTAGAACATGGATCCTAGGCAAATATTAGAGAATCAAAATTCAAGTTTTACAGCAATTGATGTTTTGTGTACAATTTGAACCTGAAAATAAGCATTAAAAATTACACAGAATCTAAAGAAGTTATGCAATTTAAGCCTCACATGTTCTCAGATTTATAGTTATAACTATTTTCTATGAGTAACATTTTTTACATGTTGAAAGAAATATTAATCATTTTTTAAACCAAGTCACTAGTGAGCCTTTGGATGATTAACTACTCTATGTATTTCTTTCATTGAAACTGGCGTATAAAGGAAAGCAAAAATGACAATAAAAGAAATGTACCAATTTATTCCCTACTAATAAAGTATTGAACATTAGGGGGAAAGTGTGAAATATTGGAATGCAACATAGAGCAATTCCATTACCCACTGCAGTTTTGGATCATATACTGTATATAAAGAGTAATTACTTCATTGGCTGGAGACCACAGTGAAGGACTATAGAATCTGATGAAAGAGATTTTGCAATAAAGATTTTACCTCAACGTATTTCCTTCTCCAAACTTTGCCAACCTTAAGACAAGCCCACTCTATTTTCTCTTTGGATGGCAGAGGTATGGGAGTAGCAATGGGCTTAAAGTTTAGCAAAACAAAGAAAAGTATACAAGTTGAGCCAAGCTTTTTTTTTTATGCTTTTCTTCTTCTTTTTTGTAGTTCTTTTTATTGTACTAACATTTTTCTCCGCTCTCCTCCCTTCCTCCCCTCTCTCTTCTCCCCTTCTATCCTCTCTTGAGACTCCCACACTCCCAATTTACTCATGGGATCTTATGCTTTTCTCTTCCCTATTTGGATCCATGTATGTCTTTCTTAGGGTCCTCTTTGTAGTCAAGGTTATCTGGGGTTATGGATTGTAGAGCTGAGCCAATTTTTAAGAATCTTAGCCAAAAATTATACATCAATCTTTAAATTTTTAAAGTAAGTATTCACAATTGCCTGTTTTAATGGCTTCAATGACTCATCCTGTTGCTGAAGATCCTGTGTTGCAGCATGTCATTTACATTAAACCTCTTGATTCCTTACACATCTTCACTTCCTACCCTTGAAAGAAATTTCTGTATTTCATTTCCTTGCTGAAGAACTTAGTTGCATGGTGAGCCTCAAGGCTAGGTTGTGGGTTACACGTGTAAATCTTTCTCCTTTTCCCTCTTACTTATCCTACTGAAGCTTTAGAGGGAGCTAGAATCTCCCCAGTGGGATAAGGAAGCCATACATGTATTATGGAGAGAAGAGTCTGAAGTTAACCAGTTCTAGACCAGTTCAATATCTCTGAACCTTAGTTTCTAATGAACAATGGGAAAAATATACTATAGGATGGCTATGAGGATTGAATTTGGTATATGAGAAGCATTTTACAGTACTTAGTGAACATGATTTCTAAATCTTTTTTTCAAAATTACTTAAAGCTTATTAAAGTACAAAATATAAAAATGTCAAAGTAAAATCATACCATGTAATTAGTTTAACTTACTTCTATGTTGGGGAGGTGTGAGTTCTAAGCATAAAATGTTAATCTTATTTAAAAAATAGAATTTATGTATCATTTATTTTTCACTTATTTCAAATAGATCATAAACATTTCATCATTAAAAATGAAATGTTTTCTGATTTCAAGAATAGTTCTAGTCAATGTGCTAATGATTTTTTTTAAATTTATAAAGAAAACTGCAACAGAAATATTTCTACAGGTGCTTATTGGGTGAGTGTATTGGGAATATAACCCCAACACTTGCAATATCTGTTGCTAGTTTTTTCTCAGCCTTTAAAAATTCTTTTTGGTAGCACTGTAGCTAAAGGCCTGGGATTCACACTGGCTTAGCACACACTACAGCACTGGCTGTAGCCCAGCCTGAACGTTTTCAATTTATGGTGACTTTTGATGTCATTTTTAACTTTACAAAATCACTGCTACAAAGGTTTTCTTTGTGAGTTATAGTTTTTTAATGCTTGTTTTTAGAAAATTCTTTCTTATAAATGTAAATAAATATCTATATTGTCTTTTATAGTTTTTAGCTTTTAAAAATTAGTATGAATTGAGAGCTATTTGATGCACCAATTAATGTAGACTTGTACTACCTATTAGAGTTGAGAGTTCATTTAAGGTAGGGTTTAGTATAATTTCCCCTAAGTATTATAGGCAACAAAATTGCTCATTTACAATTTCCTTCTATATGATGAAACCCTACCCCACTTTTTGATACAGGATCTCAGGTAACCCAGGCTGACCTTGGACTCTTGGTTAGCCTGCCTCCACTTCCTGAGATCAGGGATTGCAGGCAATCACCCAGCATGATGCCATATTATACATCATTCTTTCAGTATCTGTCTTCCATTTCAATTATCTGGTCTACAAAATGCTTTCTCATTATTGTTCCTTTTATAGAAATGTCTTGATTACAGTTACATATCTATCTTCCAAGCAAATTAGAAATACTTGACCAAATTCTCTCCATTTCTGTCTACTTGAAACATAAGGATTTGATTGAAATTGCAATAAATCTGTACGTTCAATGCCCCTAATATTCTACATAATAATATAGACACGTTTCTATGCTTTCATAATTTTTGAGGTTATGCCAAAGTATTTTATTGTTATTGTTAAAGAACATATCCCCGAGCAGGAACCTTGTTCTCAGTGAATTTTTCACTGCACGAACAGCACGATTGGACTTGTTTGTTTTTCTCTTTGGTGCTGAAGATAGAACCAAGGGATGTATGCCCTAGTCCTGCAGGGGTTTGTTTTTCATTTTTATTTGCATTTGTTTTGTTAGACACAGAATAAACAATTTATAAGGGTACTTTGATTCATAGACATAAAAGAAATTAGCTGCTACTTAGAAGAGAACACTAAGGGTCAGCTCAACTTTGCAGTTAGGAAAACAACTGGGAAGAGTCACTTTATGTACTCACTTTATCTAAAATGTACAATTACATAAGATTATAGGTGAAATTCAAATTTTGTCTGGTAAAATGAAGAGAGAGAAAACATAAGAAATTTAATGCATCTATGTCTGTCATGGCAAGTGAAGGATGACTTGAATACAATGGAGAATGCTAATTACTTCCCATATTATGAGGTTTAGAGTATCCCTCATTTCCCTCTCTTGACAATCTTTTTTTGACATTAGATGACTAATGTAAAATATTTCTCTTATTGAAGTTAAATTTGGAATAAAAACTGATTGGTATCCACAGTTGTGATCCAACTATAAAATTGCCTATATGGCGATGGTCCCAGCATACTGTGCAGCCCTTGGAGGAAGCCTTTGCACCTGTGATTCACTTGTCCTTGATTTCTAGGTGGCAGAACAGCAGAACGCCAGCCCTGGCCAAGCATTCACAGTACAGTGTTTGGACTCTTCTAAAATGAAAGTCAGTATGTAAATGTGCAACGTGACATTATTATCCTAGTTTCCTGGCTGCTTTCAGCAAGTACTAGCTGCCACATGAGGTCTCAAGTGTTTTGGCATAGTATTCAAGTGTTCAAAAGAAGTTAAAGTAATGAAATTGGATCTATATTTCCATAGACATTCAAGTTGGCATGGAGAAATGGAGTCATGGAATCAGGGTTGGATGGTCTCCACCAAACAACCTCGGCAAGTGTCTGTGATGCCAGGCTACTAAGCTGAATTCTATCGTGAAAGGCCACCACTATTTCTTCCTCTGGGTCTAAAATTACAAAATATGCACATTTCCCTAGGTTCACACCATGCACAGGGCGCTTTATACTTAATCTCCTCCCACCCATTCCCTGGTATACAAGAATTCCTTAAGATTCAAGCTGAAGTATGTACAAAAAAGGAAGTTTTAAAACTGGCTACCAGCATATGAGACAGTGGACTATCTCAGCATTTTTTGGAAGATTGATATGTATTTGACCTACAAATGTCTTGTTAATGCATCTCAGCACTAGTCATTTTTTTCATCAGTTGTTACTGCTCCCAGGTATACTTGTTTGTGCTCAGTATTTTCTTCAATTGAAGTGTTTGTTTGGTCAAATCTAGGGATACAATTCAGTGGCAGGGTTCTTCACAAAGCCCTTCGTTCAACAGAAAATGTAAAATAGAAAACAAAAAAGTACAAGAAAATATGCAGACTCAATTAAGGTGTACAGGTTGTGGGATCAAGATAGCGGGTTTGAGTCTATAGTTCAATTACTAGAGTGCTTGCCTAGCATGCACAAGGCCCTAGGTTTGATCTCCAGCACCACATAAGACTGAGTGAACATGTCCACTCAGAAGAACATGCCCGGAGTCCTAGTACTTAGCAGGGTAGAAGAGAATCAAGGCTTCAAGGTCATGTTCACCTACACAATAAGTTCCAGACATCAGGTCTCATCCTGGGAGAAGGAGGTTGCTGAAGAAGAGAGAGACTGGGCTTGCTAAGTGAGTCTTGCGTTAGCTTTGGCAATTATTCCTGTCATATAGCTCTACCTCCTTGTTTCCATTCTTCAGAGCAATGGAATTCAAGTTTCTTGAATTGCATCCATTGGGTACATTTCTTCTGTCGTTTTTCTTGAAAATTTCGTGAGCTCCAAATATCCATTTGCATAAATATAGAGATGAAGCGCACTTAATGTTAAAAATGCAAGAGACGGACTGTCCAAAGAATCAAGCAAGAACCAATATATACCTTTTACTCATACAGAATTTCTTTATTGTATTTTAGGATGGTGAAAAAAAAGGATTTATAAATAAAATCTATGCCATCCAAGAAGTCTGTGTCAGTGTGCAGAATATCCTAGATGACGTGGCCTCCTTTGGCGAAAGGATAAAGAAGTGAGTTGGGCTGCAGAGCCCTTCTGTCAGGCACAGGTCACCATTCCATGATCTGTTGTTCAGTTTCCTCTTAATTTGTTTTTGTGTATCCTTGGTTTTATGATGGTTCTGTCAATTTCCTGCCTGAAGTTTAGAACATATTGATGGGGAAAAAGTTATGACTGCAGCTTTGAAGGTACAGCACTGTCCTACACTTCAGCATACCTTTTCATAAGGACTTTGTTCTTAAAAAGAATATGAAGTCATGGAAAGATAATCTAACCTTATGCATTTCAGGTAATTAGGACACCTGTACTGTCTAAATCTAACTAGACTTTTGCCAAGTTTAATATTGTCAAGAAATAAGTCATATTTCATCATTTAGAAAAAAAATCACAGAATTTTTTCCATTATAAAAGAATTCTCCATAATTAAAAGTATGTTTAAGATTTATTTATTATAAGTAATTTATTATAGGAAATTTATTTATTATAAGGATGTGGTATGCATGTGTACCACATGTGTGCCTAGTGCCATGGATGTCCCAGGGGAGAGTTGGAGCCCCTAGCTTAAAGGACAGGCCAGCATAATGTCTGAATCCCAGCACACTCTCCCTGATTTCCACTTCTACTTGAAACAAAGCTGAACAGAAAGCGAATGTTCCTAAAAGGAATTCTAAAATTTACGGCTCACACAGTGCTCCAAGAGTTGCACTTACTGCAAACATCCATTCCCAGCATGGGGCTATGGTGTTTTTAGGAGGATGAATGGTGGATCCCTATTGTATAAAATTTAAAAATAAAGAAGGATGGGTACTAGTTTTAGTAGCAGGAAAAAATATTTTTACTATGTAAGGAGGTATCCGAGTTGTATAATGATTTTAGGCTATGAAATTCCTAGAACAACCTAGTGGGGCTGCTACAAGATTCTTTACCTGGGTCTGTGTTCATGAATGAAACAGACTAAACTATGTTCTCTGATAGTCAACTGTTATTCAAAACCACATTTATCTTAACTCTCCTTTAGAAAAGTGTTAAGTGCTCACATTACTGATTTGTTACTTTTCCATTCAGTACTTTCAACTGGACTGTGCCATTCTTAAGCTGGCTGGCCATTGTAGCCCTCTGTGTGTTCACAGTTATTCTGTACTTCATTCCACTGCGATACATTGTTCTTGTCTGGGGTAAGTAAAGCTTTTTAAATAACAACAAACACTCCAGCTGTTTTAGCAGCTAAGAACAAACTGTTTTTAAGAGGTGAGTTATAGCATCAGCAGTGCTCTGTATTTATGATCATGTAGGCACTCCATGATGAAAAAGGACAGGTCAGTTAAAAATCACAACAACATAGAGATTTAGGTCTCAGTGTAAAATGCATTTTTCTTAGCTGGCACCACAGCTCCCATCTTACTATAAACATGTACTGGTACAGATTCTTCATATATCAAAGTGTAACTTTGTCTAGATATCACTGATTTATTTTCACCACTTAAATGCCAATGGAGGCACTTTAAGCCATGTGGTACGTTTGCTGCGGTATTTTATCTTGTGGATGTCTGTAAACATGGTACCAGCTGCCCATTTAAAGGCCACTTTTAGGACTCAGAAAAAGCCTTACCAGCATTTACAGGCGCCTTAGGAACAACCAAAAAGTCTACTAAGTAAGGATGCTTTTAGAAAAGTCTACTTTAAAGGCAATTTCCCCCTAATACTTACGCGATTGTGCCACGTGCTTCCAGCAGTCCCTCCGACAGAGAGCCCATTTGGGAGGTGTCACTTGAGCCTTAAGAAGAACTGAAACTGAAGTTTTTCTTTCTTGGTGAATTTTTTGGTTTAGAAAACCCAATCTTCAATCCCTATAATCCACCACCGTATAGAAACACTTTCTATTTGTCCCTCATCAATGGACACATACATCAAAGATTTATAAACTTTAAAAAATATACAAAGATGGAAAACAGGCCTTGACTTAAGAAAACATGCTTGTATTGTAAATAATGGAATTTTTTACAGAGTTTTTTTATTTTTTTACCTCCCAAATCATTAAAAGAAATATACCAGAAGAAAGTGAATTAAGAACAACAGTCTCCATCCAGTTTAGTTTTAAGATTCCCATTTGGGGGGCTGGAGAATTAGCTTGGCAGTTAAGAATACTTACCAGTTTTGAGGAAGACCCAGTTTTGGTTCTCAATACCCACACAACCACCTATGCCAGTGTTCTTTTCTATCCTCCTGAGGTACGTGTACACACACACACACACACACACACACACACACACACACACAATTTTTAAATAATAAAAATATTCTTGTTTTCTTTCTCCTTTGGCCCATGTTTCCATTTTCCCTTCCAGTATTGCCTTTAGCCCCTGGATGGAGGGCAGAGGAAGTAGTGATTATATTTTTCTTTCCCAATTTCTACCATTTACAGAGATTTAATTAAGTCACCAGTTTTCCTATTCAAAGGATGGGGCTTTTTAATTCTGATTTTAATTTTACCCTATCTAGTCTACTAAGCCCTAATGTTTCCTTCACTTCTCTGATGGTCAGTGCAGATACTATTTCACTGTGAAGTTTAGGGCAAAAATAACCATCTCTTCCTAGGGTCAGATTTGCAGAACCATTTCTATTGCCATGCGAAGAGTCCCTCCCTCCACTGCCCTTCCTCACTCAGCTTCTCTGAAACGGAGCCTAAGGGTCCATCTGGCTAGGAGTGTTTAGGGACATTCGTATGGCCCCAGTGGCTAGCTGTCTTAAAAATATTTTCATAGGATATGTTTGAGCCTTGTTTAATCAAATAAAAAATTTCAAAAAATATTATTTATTTTAGTGATAGGTGACTGCTAAAATGCTAAGGACATAGATTTCACATGGCTGGAAAGAGTCCAAGACCAATGTGACAGAAGTTCATTCTGTAGGAATGCCATTAAGAGCTTAGATCCCAAGTCTATTCCTCGGTTTGCATCTGTGTGTTTAATGCAAAGCTGAATACTTTTTCCCCCAAAATTTACGGCAATATTTTTCATTTAAATTTAAACAATAATCAACCATCAAATCCCATGACTTCTAAACATTTTGTTTGATTTATAACAGTAGCACCTAAAATAAATATCTTTGGAAAAGAGAAAAATAATAAATCACCTAACAATTACAACCTAGAAACGTAGACAGGTAAGTCTCATCATGCCTAAACATAAAGCAAATCGTCTTGGGACTGCAACCCTGAAAACCTGGTCAGGCAAGACACTGTGTATCCCTTCTAGGATCCCTTTTGTTTTCCCCCAAACCTCACCTACTGGGAAGAAGCTATTCAGTTGCACACAGGAAAGGAAGCAGTAGTTCAGATGGGAAAGTTGAAGGAGGTGCTATACTAACTAGGCCACCCTGTCAAGGCTAAGGAGTAGCACAAAGTTGATGTTCAAATCGCCATAATGTCTTCTCCAGAAATGTGCTTTGCCTAACTCCACACTCAATAATGAACTCAATAATGTTTAAAATGTCACTTTTTTAGGTATTAATAAATTTACAAAAAAGCTTCGGAGTCCATATGCAATTGATAACAATGAACTACTTGACTTCCTTTCCAGAGTCCCTTCAGATGTACAAGTGGTATGTATATTTCATTATTCTTGTGCTTGCTTGGGTGTAGTATGACACTGGGTCTCAATATTTAAGCTCTTCAATGTCAAAGGCCATAGAAGAGTCTGTTAAAAGTCAATGAAGCTCACTGCAGTTTTTTGGCAGGACTTTAGCCAACTAGACATTAATCTAGACAAACCTATAAAGAACAGAGAGCACAAGATTGAAAGTCAGTCACCACAAGGCTTTTGGGGAGAATGTACCCCAAGAGTCATTCATCACATGGTTTTCAGGAAGAATGTACTCAAAAGTCAGTCATCACATGGCTTCTGGGGAGAATGTACCCAAGAGTCAGCCATCATATGGCTTTTGGGGAGAATGCACCCCAAGCCCAGCTGAGTCTGTGAAGAGACAGAGAACAGAGTTATTTTAGATATAGATGATGGAAGTGAAATGGTGATTACAAACTACTTGTGCATATTGCATAAATTCAATACATTTAATGCATTTGTTAATGTATATTTTAGATTAGGGAGAAAATGTTTACATTTGAAATACTATAGCATATCTCACAAATTCTTTGGACTTAACATGTACTAACGAACTGATTTCAAAGTGGAATAAAGGTTTTTAATCACAGTCTTGAAGTCGGTTTCAGTGGTCACAATTTGCATTAGTTTCAGTTGAGTTTTTCATTCCATATATACAACCATGGGCTAGGTGACGATTAAGGCTGTATTTAACAAACTGCAAAGAATCATTATCCAGTTCTTCAAAAATAGTGATAGATTTTCTTTCATTGTATTGTATTCCGGTGAGTATCAGTCACAGTCCATTAGCAAAGTTCATATGAGGCTTCAGGCATTTTCTGGCAGGATTTCCCTCCTGACTCTGACTCTAGCCCCCTGCTGCTTTTTGCAGCAGCTGGAGTTCCCCACTTGGTTTCTAGAACAGCATACCCCTCCCCTTCACCTCCCTTCCCAAGCAGTCTCTCATTTCGTAGCTTTTCTTCTTCTTTTTTTTTTTTTTGCCAGGAAGTGGCCACCTGACCAGTCTTTTTCTGAACTGTTTAAACAGGTGCAGTACCAAGAACTGAAACCAGACCATTCTCATAGCCCATATAAAAGGAAGAAAAACACCCTTGGCTAGCCAGCTCCCAGCACTGAGGGGACCAGCACGCCTGGAAAGATAAAAGAAAAACCCTGCAGCCTCGGCAGCATTTCTATTCTTTCTCCTGTTTATTTATTTTCTCTTTTTATCATGATCAAGAAAATTTGTAAATAGTGTACAAAGGCATATGTCCTTGAAAATATACTTCCATTGCACAGACTCAACCTGATAAAGGATTTTAACTAGTGGAGTGTGGAAGCCTTGTTAGCTATAGATAATACAACCAACTGAAAGAATAAAAATAATGGTTATAAAACTGGAAGCACATTACTCAAATTACAAGTGAAAGAACCAGAATATCAGATTAAATGCTCAATCGTACTCTGATTAGCCATACATAAAATATATATGCTTACTTGATTTTAGGGTTTTTTTTTTTTGCTATGTGATGACTTCTTATCTAAAATGCAATTCATTTTTTTAATGTTTATACAGTACAAAAGAGGGGAAACCCCAAAACTTGAATAATGGAAATGTTGCATTTCAATATAACATACAACCCGACTTTCACTCCTGTGTATAAATACGTTACTTCTGCATAGCTAAGGCTCATTTTAAGTTCATGAGGACAGGCACATTCATCTATTCTGCTGTCTCCTCATACACAATCCCTTAAGAGAATCTGAGATTCTATGAATAAAACTCTTAAGCCTTCTATCATTCCATCTAAAACCTTAAAATCTCTCCAGAAATATATTGAATAAATACTGCCAGGTTTATAAGTGATTATCACGGTTTTTATATATACCACTATTTAATTTATACTGAGTTAGCAAATTAGCAAGCCGATTTAGTTGTCAAAAATACTAGCAAAGTAAATCCATACTGCATTTGGTATCAAATTATGCCCTTGTATATCTAAAACAGTAAATTTAAGTGTTCTCACAGGGGAAAAAAAAACAGTATCTGCTTTTTCATTAGAGTATTAACATGCTTTTTATAAGTGAGCTTTAATGTGGAGAAGGCAGTGGACTAAGAGAAAGGCCAGTGCTTCATTACATCATTTATGAAGAACATTGATAATGCATGAAAGCCTGTTTTGTAAAATAAACTGCGTTTAAAGTGGTTACCATTAAAAATGTTTCACTAACCACACTGTGTACTTTAACAGTGCATTCCGAAAACCAACTCCAGGGTCTATCAAGGGAATTTACCTCTGCAGAGATACTTGGTCAGTCAGTGAGAATGTCTTTACTGACTTTTAAAGGAATACACTCAATGGAAATGGCTGCAACATTTTGCACTATTTTATTGTTATTAATAAATAACTGGGGTGAGGTGAAGGTGGGGGTTGTGCTGGACAATGTAGAAAAGCAGAAATATATATATTTCACTCCAAAGAAATTCTTTAAATCTCATCAAAGCTAATTTTTGAAGTATTTTTATTTTAGAAATATGTTGTTAAATACTATTTCTTACAATAGAACTATTTTGATGTTTATACACTAAGCTTGGAAGAATGTTGACTAAATTCCCTTTCTACAGAAAGGCTTTGACCTCACCTCAACATGCTCTATCTAGGGTATCATGTTTAAAACAACATGCTTATATCTGCATTCCATCACTGTTGCAAAAACTACTTTATGAAGCTGGCCTATATAAGTTTATTGATGAAGTCCTTTGGTCTAAGTTCTGATTATACCTCTGTGAGATTTATGTTTTGTGCTGTGTCTACTCAAATGTCTAAGTCTAACATTCTATAACCTTAGATGAACCATTAACAGATAACTAAGTTTCGTTTGTTTCATTGTGTAAGATTTCAGATGCTTAGTTCAATAGTAATGTTGACTACATATTCACTTCATTAAATACAAAAGGAAACAATTTTTTCCATGTAAAAATCACTATTTTTTTCTGAGTTAAGAAATGCACAGTGGGGGCACTGGGTGCATGTTTGTTCATTAGTGTACTTCACTTGGGGAAACATTTGATTTGAGCAAGGCTATTCTTGAAACCCTGGCTACAGTGAAAACCCAGTACCTTTGGCACAGTAAGCATCCAGTGATGCAGAGAAAACTATCTGGAGTCAGAAAGTCACCTTCAAGCTAGCCCTCAATGCTTTCAGAAAACAATATATTATAGGGCCAAAAGGATAATGCCAAGTAGGATTTTAAACTTTCTTGTATAGGTGCTTTTTATATTTAAGAAGGATGCCTTGGTTTTCAGTTGCTTTTTTTTTTCTTTCCCAGAACTGAGAACTGAACCCAGGGCTTAGCCCCTGCTAGGCAACTGTTCTACCACTGAGCTAAATTCTCAGCCACAAATTAGATTTCTTCTTCTTCTTTTTCTTGAGTCAAGGTTTCTCTGTGCAGCCCGGTTTTCAGAGAAGTCTGAAGCAAATATTCTAAGTTATATGAGCTAAGTTCTAAGTTAAACTGAACGTGGCCCAACATCTATTTGCTTTGTTAAATGTAGCAGACATTGTAAACTGCTCAACAGTCTATATTTACATTCCACACTAGTCATTGTTGTATAATGCTGTCCTCTGGGCAAGGCAACTGCCATCTTCCTTAGATCAACTGTGCTGGCTCGTTAAAAGACCATCATAATCACGCTTACAGTTGATTCCTCATAAAAGGAGTGGGCGTAGAGGAACAGTGAGACCAAGATTTTAGAAACTGGACGCAATTCTGCCCTAATCACACGTGACTTTAAAGAGGTGTAGAGTATATAGGCAGGTGACTTGAAAAGGGACCACATCTATGCAGGAATGGGGAGGCCATAATTCATACTGATCAAGACTACTTAGTGCAGTTGCTTTGGGCTCATCCATGCTCCTGTAGGTGACCCCTCATTCATCTTCTGAAAGTTAGTCTGATAAACTTATTGGTTCACCAAGCTGAACTTTGGTAAGATGCTTTGTTTTGTCATTGAGATCACATAATGAAGGGTAGATGATGTTTAAGTCTCTACAGAGAAGGGATTCTGCCACTACATACTGGAATAATTCAGATATCTTGCCCTTCTGTAACTTTTAACACACTGTTGCCTAATAGTTCATTTTGTTAGTTTCAAACTCAAACAGAGGGGTTAATGAGAGGGAGGGGTGTTCTAAATTAATTTTGAGTCATTCTATGCACTAGGATAACGTTAAGAATATTTTTTTACATGACTTGTGATGCATTTATTGTATACCTACTGTATGTATAAGCCTGAGAAGGGCAATTATAGAGTATGTGTGTATCAATTGCATAATTAAACCAAATCTGGAGTTTGTAAACAGACAAACTTAAATGGTATGTTTATGAAAGTAACTCTTTAAAATTTCCTTAAATTTTAACTAGACTCTGGCATCTAACTTGCAACCAGTCTCCCAAGTGCTGGGATGAGCAGGCAAATGCTGAAATTGAGCAGTTAAATCCTATCCAGTGGCCACGGGGGGAAAATTTTTCCATTTTGATGTCAAAATCCAAAGATGTCTAATATTGATGCCAAAATATAGCAAGCATTATTCAACTTATAAGTTTAAATAAGCCTGGCTGCTGACAACACTTTTCAGTAATAGTGCTTTGGTGCTCAGCTTCAAAAGAAAAGTATAAGGCACTTGGTGGCTTCACATACAAAATAGCCAGTATTACACTTGAGACAAAAAAAATCAACAACCCAAAAAACAAAACAAAACAACAACAACAAAAAAACCTCAGCTCTTATTAAAGCATGTTTAAGTTTTGGAGTTTGCAATGTTATGTGTCCAGATGGTTAGTCCCTGGTCTGATTAGAGTATGTGGAGTCAGCCTTTTCTAAATGCTCAGTTGAATTAAAGCCACCTAAATATAATAAAAATATCTTTTATAACTCTCTTTTCAAGGATGATTGCTGTAACTCACTGAAATAATGACAACAGCAGCAGAAAGTATCCCCCTTTTGTAATGAGAATTCTTTTACACTCATTTTCCACATTCATCCAATGGTACCTTGTATATGGCAGTCACATGAGAAGTTACTTTAGCTGAATCTGAGACTCGAAACACATCAAGAAAATCTCTATGTTGGAACACTATAAAAGCATGCATTAATGCCCAAAGTATGTGGTTTTCCCCCCTAGGGTTTCTGGTTTAAAAGTAAAAAGGAAAAGAAAAACAAAACATCCATAAAACAAAAAAACACAAAATGAGACAACTAAATATATAATTGTTCTCTAATTTCAACTTGTTCAAATTTTCATTCTAAGCTGAAAACAATAAAAAACAAAAACAAATCTACAAAATATCCCATGTGTAGTACTACACCAATATTTTTGTAAAAATAATTTTTTAAAAAAAATCCATGTATCTTTGAATGCAGTAAAAAAAAAAAGGGCATTTATGTGTACAAGTGTTTGTCTTGTTTGCATGTTTTTAAAATACATACAATGCCTACAGAGGCCAAAAGAGGTTATTGGATCCCCTGGAAATGGATTCTCAGATTATGAACTGCTGAGAACCAATTTCGGTACTTTTTGAGAAAAGTTAAGCACCATTAACTGCTGAGTCTCCAGTCCCAGGACTACTGCTGAAAGGCAACACTGGTGCTGCATGTTCTGCTCTCATCAGCTAAGAGGGCTACTGTTTTACTGTATTTAAGTTGAACAGCTGTGTCGATGTGCTCTCAGTATGTATCAAAATGACTGCAATGCAGGCTTTCCCTGTTCTATATTTTTTAATGTTCCCTCAAAGAGAAAAGGAACAACCCCAACGAGTTAGTGAGAAAACACCCAACTTCTCAGGAAGACTGGCTGAAGGAGCTAGCTGTGAGTTCTACTAGTGAGGAAAGTTCACATGGCTCAGTCCAGGGTCAGTGGCTAGTTTCAAACTGGCTTTAGTCAAGTTAAACAATTTTATTTTGCCTGGGTTCAAGTGGTGACAGATTTGGAAGAAATGCTAAATTTGTACAGAAAAGAGTCCACATGATTCCAACAATTTTTAATTGTGTTCTGCATTATAGGAAGTGCCCGAGACAACAGCCAAGCACCAGTTTTCACAAAGATAGTTGGATCACAGAAGTGAGCAAAGGAGAAGAAAATACCAATTATTTTTCTCAAGATTCTTTTTTTATAGTTACCAGAGGAACAGAATCCATACAACTAAATCCTTCATAAAATATTCTTCCTTACAAAGTAGTGATTCCAACAACTCTAAACCAAAACTGTATGTGTGGTCCATTGAAGATCAATTCTGCAAAATACACTGTTCTACTTCCTGTTACACAAAGGGGCTTGCTTGTGACAGAAGGAGGTTACATTCAATTTCTAACCAAATTTACAGAATCATATGCTTCTTGCATTTGTCCTAGACTTGTGAAGCACATAGAACCTACCTGGAAAGGTCAAATCACCAAACCCTTTTGAAGAAGCCCCACTTCCCCAATTTCATTTCCATTTCATTTGTTTGCTATTTAAAATTTCCCTATTGGATGTTCAGAAGTAGGGGAGGCTATTTAGAGGTTGAGACTATGGTTCTATACTAGAGTACTTGCCTAGTAAATATCAGGCCTAAGGTTCAATCCCTGTGTGGAAAACAAAAGTATTTTCAAAACATAACAGGAAAAAACAATCACCAGTACCTTTTTTTGGGGGGTGGGGGTGGGAATGGGAATGAGAGTAACATCCATTTTGCATTTATTTACATAACTAACACCAGACACACCAATCAATAAACAGGTATGTATTATTCATTCTTGTACACTATAATGCTAATTTAAAATACTTTTATTTGGCAGTCAAGAAATCCTCCCACCAGAAGAGAATTACCAATACTTTCTGGCTGTTACAGTTACCTTTCGTTACTTTTCAAAAAAAAAAAAAGCTGTGATATTTCTATGCATTTGGAGATTAATTAATGCATTACACTATACTCTTGGCCTTCATCCTGGAGGTGCATACAACAATGTGCTTAAAGAGCAATGGCATGGTAATGTTAGAACCCTCTTGGGTAAACAGCTACATCTATCTATCTGTTATTCTGCTGTAAATAGGTTTACATGGTTCGATTCCCATTTTATAGAGCAATTATAAACAATTACCAGTCTCATAACTTCCTGTTTTGTGTTAAATATGTAAAAGCTCTTCAGAAAGCACATAACTGTTTCCATTAACACTTATAAAACTGTAAA